GTTTGAAATGTGCCTTGTAAATAAAGCTGCGTTGCCTGTAAATGATACGTCGTGTTTATTTTGTCATAATTTTGGGAACTTTTTGCCGACTGACTGACAGGAAAAACGGACCGTCTCTGTTTTGTGAGGGGGTGGTCTTGGACGCACCATTGGATGGCGGGACGAGAGCGCCGGAAGCGCCCCCGAACAGCGCCTGCGCTTCGACCAATCAGAGGCTCTGCCCGATTGTAACGTCAGTGGAATGTGGCGGCCGTGACGTGTGAATGGGTGTAAACTACAAAAATAACCGGTCCCTCCATCAAGAGACTCTAACATCCGTGATAGACTCTACTTAACACGGAACAACCTGGCGACTCTTCCTGCATCACGTAGCATCATGTCCGAGTGTGCGTCTCGGTGAGTATATTCATTTTTACTAGTGTGTTATAACAATAATCCAATTATTTATGTAAATACGACATAATGCCGCTGTGATGTCGACTTGACAGAAATTCATGGCGGGATTTCCATCACTCACTTTATAAGGGGAGTTATACGTTTAGGCTGTAATACTTGTTAATAATGATAATAAAATACGCTTAAATGTAGCTCTACATTTGACCCAAATCCCCAGAGAAACGGATACACTGTCAGGCTTTGGCCTGTAAATAAAGGGATAATTAAAAACGTGCTGAGAAGGGTGAGAGGATGATGCTATTCCTCGTGGACCACGCGGGAGAGGCTGTTCGCTCGTGACCAGTGATATCAAGGAAACAAAACCGTGTTCCTCTGAAGGATAATCCACCAATAAAGGCAGTAAGAGCGCGCGGAACATTATGCTCACCCATGGGACGGGGACTCCCCCCCCCCCCTCACTTGTTCCGCACTGACGTCACTTCGATAACGCATTTTGAGTCACAGAGGATGGTTCCGTTATGCTGCTTTGACTTTTATTTGTCCAGTTATGCCGAGACCACATTATGGCACAAAGAGCCACAACAAAACTCTCCCTTTCCTGACTGAATGCGCGCGAGACGATGTCTACATGCTGGCAATGTGCTTACACTGCAAAAAACAAAAAATAATACGATCAAACGACCAATACGTTCAAACACAAACTGAGAGGTTTAACCTAAATGTCATGGTGACCCAAACAAAATGAAATTATTGACAGGAAACAGACACAAAAATGAGCTTTTAGCAGTGGTGAAATGTAACAACGTACTCAAGTAATGTGCTTATACAGTTCTGAGTATTTCGATATGCTTTACACAGGAAATATATTCATCTCAGTGCAGTGACTGTACAGGATAGCCCCCCCCCCACGTCCCAAATGCCTTCATTTGATTGAGATATTCAGGATAACAGGAAGTCGAATGCAGCATGATGTGCTCAGAGAGGAGACATGAGGGAATCCCATGTTAACATTGTGTCACACCATCTTATGTTCTTTTATAGCCAGCTGTCCCTTCTGCATTTGAAAGTTAAAACTGTGTTACTTTTAGTCTGGGTTATGACATTAACTTCTTTATCTCACGATCCGAGCTTTGATATGTCAGTGAAAGGTGCTTTCACACATGTTGATCTCTTATCTTGAAGATAAGGTTGGCGTGACATGGTTAACCCTTAAGTTACCTTGCCAACACTTTGTTGATCCACGAGCTGAGTACATACTGATCTCTTTGTTTCGTCTGACTCTCTCAGTGAAAGCTATGAGGAGTGTCGGACCGCAGCTGATTGGCTGCTGTCCAACACGCAGGTGCGGCCCACGGTGGGAATCGTGTGCGGTTCAGGTTTGGGGGGGCTGGCCAAGATTCTGAAGGACCCTCAGGTCTTCAAATACAGTGACATTCCCAACTTCCCCCGGAGCACAGGTATGCACGCTGGTAATTTATGTGTGCCTGCATGTTTGTGGGCTCATAGTAAATGCACTGGGTGGCTAATAAAGTGTGTGTGTGTGTGTGTGTGTGTGTCTTGCAGTGAATGGTCATGCTGGTCAGCTGGTGTTTGGAACCCTTAAAGGGAAGCCGTGTGTTTGCATGCAGGGCAGGTTCCACCTGTACGAGGGCTACCACGTCCAGAAGGTGAGTAACGATTCAAAAAAGCGCCGGTAAAGGTTGTTAAAGGCTAGCAGTGAGGGGAGAAGTACTCAGGTCTTTTACTTAAGTAGAAGTACTCCATTGCAAACTGTAAACTGTCTGAAACTTTGAGATGTGGCACAGAGGCAAAACAAGACCAGCCACTGGTTTAATTCATAACACATTGTATTTTATAAACTGATAATATGTTTGGTTTCTTTACTGTAACTAGTAACTGTATCTGTCAAATAAAGCAAGTGGAGTAGAAGTATAAAGTAGCATGAATGGATATTTAATTACTCAAGTACAAGTACGTCAGTACAGTACTTAAGTAAAAGTACTAATTATGTATATATAACATACAGAACATAGAGTCCTGTTACTCAGAATACTCCACAGACCTCACCGTGCACAGTTTTCAGGACATTTACTTGAGTGTTATAAAAGTCTTTCTCAAACATGTCAAACAGCTGCTGTCTGATCTCACAGTCAGCAGAGGAGGAGCTATCAGGGCGTGTGTTTTTCAATGAGAAGCCAACTGTTCATTCTCGTTCTGAACACAACCTCAGACAGATTGTCCACTGCAGTAAACAGGCGTTATCATATCAGTGGTGTTATGTAATACTCTGCTTTCTGTCAACCAACTTGATGTGAAAGAAAACATTTCTCAGGACACACATTCTTTCTTTCTGTCCCCTTATCTGTTTCAAGCGAGGTTCGTGCGACTTTTGCATGACAACAACCTTAATACTAGTTTTTTTAACACATTACCTTGTGCTCTTCAGATCACGCTGCCCATGCGCGTCTTCAAGTTGATGGGCGTGGAGACGGTCTTCCTGACCAACGCAGCCGGAGGCCTCAACCAGGACTACAAAGTGGGCGACATCATGATCATGAAGGACCACATCAACATGCCGGGGTTTGCTGGGACCAACCCGCTGGCTGGACCAAATGATGACAGGTGGGTGGAGGAGAAGGAGGGAGGGATGCATGGATGGATGTTTCTATGAGGGCAGATAACACAACATTGTTTTTCTCTTGTAACATTAAAATGTTTTAATGCTATTCTCTCAAGTGGGGGGTTTAGCACATTATAGGGTCGGTTCTCCAAAATATCAACAAGATTCGCAAATGTTTGTCCTCAATATTTGGCTGAAAGATTTCAGATTTAAATTTGTCATCAGCTCAAAGTGGCCGTGAAGTCATTTTCATTCAAATCTCCACTCTGGAGATGAAGAAAAGTTATTTTTCTAGCTATTTCAAGCAAGCACTTGCGGCTCATTTAGTGTTCGAAGGACTCCGCTGTGCCCAGTTTGCCCCTCCCCCACCATATTTTATTTGCATTTTTCCAGGCTCCCACACAAAACAGCCACACTTCTGCTCTGGAGCAGCAATAAGCTGATGTCAGTGTCAACAAAGGCACCTATTTAACGCACATCCGAAACTCTTTGACATGACTTGTCGCGTCAGAGCATCAATGCAGGGATCAGACGACTTCTGCTGTATTCTCAGTGCAGGAGTGACCTGCTGTCCCTTCTGTTGACATTGCAAATCTTCCATTGCAAAGTGTTCATAAGGACATTAACCAATCTCGGGTTATTGGTGTATTGCTCTAACGTTACCGGATTAATTTGGGGGTAATTTCAGTACTGAATGGCACAGTTGTGTGGATTTGAAGTTGAGTCAGCACCTTCATCTTCACTTCAGGTTTGGCGTCCGCTTCCCCTGCATGTCTGACGCTTATGACCGCGAGCTGCGACAGTTGGCCCATGATGTGGCATCAGAGCTGGGCTACAACGACTTCCTGCAGGAGGGAGTGTACTGCGTCCTGGGAGGTCCCTCCTTCGAAACCATCGCTGAGTGTCGCATGCTGCACAAGCTGGGCGCCGACGCTGTCGGTGAGTGTTGAGTCTTCCCACCACACACACACTTCTACTTCTATACTTGTGAGGACTTTACCCTAAACGTAACCACCATAATTACATGCTTAACTTTAAGCTAACCCTAACTGAGAGTCATTAAAAAGCTCACTGTTGAGCAACTTCAACGTTTTTTCATCACAACTCCAACACTGCTCACACAACCAAATTACAGTGAGGCCTTTATATGGCATACAGTTTTTTTGTAAACAGTAATGGTTTTCTCTCCACCTCCCTACACTCGTATTTTAAGGGAAATTAATTTGCCAAAAGAGACAAAACACACAATAAACAATGTTAAAGAGAAATTTGACTGACGGCATCATTACTAATTGTAAGGTCACGTTCGTCGTGTCGTGAAAATGTGATAATCATGAGAGCCCTAGTCTAATTATCATGAAAAGTAATGTATTTAGCTAGTCCAAAACAATAATTGATGATACCGACATGTCGAGTTGTGTTTCAGAAGTGTCGCTAACAACAAGTAT